AAAAAAAACAGCAATAAAATTTAATTAAAAACAAAAAAAAAATAATAAATGGAGGTATATATTTAGTGTGGAGAATGCTACCATCCCGTTACGGGATGGTTTCGTTGTGTTTTTAAGCGTTGGATTAACTAACAATCACTAGATTACATGTATATCTACGGCTAGAAAACACAACAAAACCATCCCGTAACGGGATGGTAGCATTCTCCATTTAGTGTATATGAAATAGTGAGTAGTACCTGGTGATTGTGTTGTAGTTCATGAGTTAGAGCGTCCATCCCATGCAACAATAAATTTATTTCTTCTTCTAAATGGTTTCTCAGACAAAATACTGACAAAGAAGATATTATGAGGGAGAATTATTAATTCTCAGAGAAAAAAACCAAACCCAGTTGATATGATATATTTATTTATTACTATTATGAATCACAAGGGCAGCTATTATCTATGCCTGTGTGCTTATTATATATAAGTAGGAGCTTTCAAAGAGAGAGAGAATATAGAGAGAGAAGAAAAGGGGTGAGCGTAATGATTACAAGATTGTACTCGGCATATGTGTAAGTATTATTATGCAGTTGGCACGCAACAACCCAAATAATTTATTATTATTATTTATTACTCCTATTATTATTATCATCATCTCTCAGCATGCGCTGAGCCTAAATGGCAGCCTCGCATGCTTCGTTATTCTACTTGGCGAAAAAATATGTTTCGTAAATAAGTTTGGATAAAAATAATATTATTTTAAATCAATAATTTTAGATTCGGACATTTCAAAAACATTGAAAAACTAACTTGATAATTCCGTAATAGTTTTACTAATACAACCCTTAAGTTGTATTGAAATATTTGGTAATAGTATTGATTTACTAATATAACTTTGATTTGTTTTTGGAAACTCTCAATCGACTCATTAATTTCCGTAAAACCTCAAATTAGCCTAATAAATATATAGGGTTAATTGCTAAATAAACCTTAACCTTTTTTGGCAATTATATCTCAATCTTTAGGTAATTGCAATATAATCTCGACCTCAATTTACTTATTGCAAGTCAAACTTAATACCGATTGGAACTTCAAAAAATTGGTCGATTTGAAGGTGGTTCGAACAGATCGGAACTCATATTTACCGATTCACTCCAGATCTAGGAGGAGACTCATCACCGGTAGATTATATTGACGTGAAATTTTTGGCTTTGTGCGTGGATATACATTAAATACGTGGAAATTGTCATCTTGCGCGTGAATGGTATAAAAACCTTGGTATTGGTACTAGTATTATTGTTATTATACCTATATAAAAAAAGATAAAAGTAAAAACCAATTTAAAATTGAAAAGCAAATCCTGTTCAGACATACTACATTCAATCTTACGTAGTACAGAGAGAGAGAGAGAGAGTACAGAATTACAGAGTGAATGGACAAAGAAATTTTCCCTAGTATTGGCGGTGGGCCCCAGCGGCGTGGGAGGTTGCCGACTGTGCGGTGGCCCACATCGGCTCGCATCCCAACGTCTCTGTGGGGCCCACTCGCTGGAAGGGCGGTTTTGCAGTTTCAATTTATTCGTCGTCTCGTGCCCAAAAGCGTTTTCCATGCTTTCTTAACTTAACTAAATTGAATTCCTCCAAAAGTATGATATTTTCTCTACTTGTTTGTAGTTTTTTTTGAGATATTTGTTTCGATCAAATTGTACTGTTGGGGGAAATTGTCGAGTAGTGGTCAAGTTTTAGTTTTTATTTGTCAACTAATGGAAGTACTCAATCTTTAAGTCTTCTTTTTTAAATATTATAATAATAATTCAGGATTATGACATAAAACAAAGACGACAATAGTCTTATTTGGATGGAAATGGTTGTAAATAAATTTAAAGTATCCTCTCGGCTCCCATATCATCATTATCATATGTTATGTAAGTCTTAACCATGATCATTTGGAAATTGTATATTAAACAAAATAT